CAATGCCAAAGCTGCATCAGAGTATGTTGTAAGCTCTGATTCCTACTGTATTACATTGTACTGTTTGCCCTTATGTTGTAAAGCGCTGCATTAACTGTTGGCACTATATAAATCCTGTATAATAAAAATATAAATGCGCAACTACCTTACCTACCTTTGTCAAGGATTCTAAAACCTGTTTCACTGGTTGCCCAAAACTCTAGCCAGAAGACATTCCTTACCACACAGCTGGCAAAGCAGAAGAAATTTCCAGCACAAGCTCAAAAAAAATATAGAAAAATGTTGGATTCTGCTTTACCACAGTTATACAGACAGCTGAAGCCCCATTGTAAAGATACAATACAAGAACTTTTCCTCACCTTCCTCCCTGAACATGAACCTTTTTCAAGCCTTCACCTTGATCATTCTTTTCTCAGGATCAGAACAAGGTCTTTGAGGGGCTGGTGAATTTGCAGTTCTTATAATCCCCTATACATCCTGTCCCGAGTCTCTATTATGGGTTTCTAAGATCTGCTCTGTGGCATAATCAGCCTGCAAGACTTTTCATCCTCCAGCACAAATAGGGGCCTAGCAGGTCTCACCTAGTATTGAATTCTCTGTTCAGTGAACTCAGACTAGATGAATTACCCACATCTTTATCTTCACACTCCTGTCCCATGCTCTGAAGGGAAAGTCCAGTCCAACAGCTTTCTGGTCAGTATTAAACCCCCCCCCCCCCCCCCCCCCCCCCCCCCCAAAAAAAAAAAAAAAAAAAAAAAAAAAAAAAAAGTGTAAGGTGCCTGCCAGTAGGGAACATTTGAAACTAAGGGAATTGGGGGGGCATTGGGTGTTTTACAGAGCTTGCTTGTTTTTTTTTTTTCCTTTTGGGGAGGAGCAAATCTATCCTAGAAGATGGTACCCCTCTATATTAAAGCTCCCTGGAGTTGTGGCAACTCAGAGTTAGGCTTTTAATGCTATCTGCATCTCCAGTGAAGAGGCTTTTCGATAAGGTTTTAAATGCTAGGGCCCCAGTAAAGAGATGCACCTTTCTATTCTTACCACCTAAACAGGAAGTAATGTTTTGCTGGAGTTGGCCTTCAAAGTAGACCTAGTATTAGATGTTTCTTAAACCAAGAGGATATATGCTAAATGGAGCATGTATTAACTCACAGATATTACCATACTCCCACTACTTTTCTAAAAGAAAACCATTAACCCAAGGTCAGCATTTACTTCCAAGACTGGTTTGTTGACTCAGGGATGGCATGTGGCTTTACATTTTTTGTGCCTATACAGCTCTTTGTTGTGTTGACAAAATCTGACAGATCAGTTTCCTGCTGCAGCCTGTCACCTTGCTAAAAAATATGTAAACCCAACATTTCATATTCCTGATATGTACCATGTCCTTGTGTGTCAAAGTATTGTGTTCTCTTGCTTCCTTTGTGTGAAATACTTTGTGCCCCTGCCAGTTCCTCTGCTTTCCTATTAAAAAAACAGCACACTAGGCATGAGAGCACAGTAATCAATTTTCTGACAGTGCTGGGACCTAATCCAATGATCAGGGTTGTGCTGCACAGCCATTCACCGGGGGGGAAAATTAGGGTACTGTGGTTTCTCCTCCCTGAACTCCTTATGCAGCCTATAAAGAGAGTGTATATATTTAAAGAAGGGGGTGGGAAAGGTATTTATGTGTGTACACTCACCAGCCACTATTAGTTATACCTTGCTAGTGCCAAGAAAATATTCCCCACACCAGAAGCCTGAACCATTGAGCCAAAGCAGGATGGATCCATGCTCTCATGTTTACACCAAATTCTGACCCTACCATCTGAAAGTCGCAGCAACCAGTCTGCCTATTCTCCTGACATAAACAAGGCATTTTCATCCACACAACTGCTGCTCACTGGATTTTTTTTGACTATTCTCTATAAACCCTAGAGATGGTTTAATGTTATAGCGCTGTACACCATTGTAGACAGAACAGTAGGTTATCCTGACTTACAATTGTAATAAGCTTAGAGGGTTGGATATTGGTTTTGGGTACACAATGAAATAGAATCTTTGCCCTCCTTTATTAGGTTTAATGTATAATTCTATAAAAAAAAAAAATGCATGTCTGCTTGTCATTGTTTGATATCTTGTACCTTTAAAAGCCCAAGTGCTTAAGGAGTTTGGGACTGCAAGATATATAGCATGACCTCAAACCTAAAGAAACATTTGTTGGTACACTTTTAAAGCCCTGAAACTTACTAACTGTTCCAAAAAAAGGATACCAAATGTTTATCTGCCACTATGCCCCTAAAGCAAACTGGAACATTACATTTTCCAAGATTTGAGTTGAGCCCAAACATAAGCAATGATTTGAGAGTCCAGCTCTCATTTGTAATACCTGTACCAATACTAAGCTTCCATTAAATGCTACTGGAATAATCAATGCCAATATAAGTTACAGTGGATTATGGCATGAACAGGAGATAAAGGCCAATGCATCTTGTGGCAGATGCCATGCAAACAGCTACAGAAGGCAGCACTATAAAATAAACAGTCAAAAAAGCTGGCACCACTCAAAATATGCTAAAAACACCTTGCATGCTAAAATAAGCAATACATGCTCTACATGAAAGAGTAAAGTTTTCAGACTTGCAAAAAGTTGTTGGCTCTTAGACTTTGCCAAACAAGGCAATTCATAAACCACTAAAGTCATAAACTGGCTTACATACATGAACAAGGAAGGGGAAAAAAAAAAAAAAAAAAAAAGGGAACTACAGACTTCAGTAAAAAGTATGCTAGTTCAGAGAAGAGTACTCCCCATACCAAAGATGGAAAAGGTAAAAAAAAAAAAGCATGAATTGAGGAATAAGTCACAAAAAGATAGGAAATAACAAGAGTTAAGAATAAAAGGTGTTTATTATGAGCCCATAACAGATAACTACAACTGGATTGAACACCTACTGAAAAGTATAAAGGTTTCTTATAAAATAGTTTTTAATTTGTCTTTCGTACAAACATATGATTAGAAGTAATGGATCTTTCACAACTGTCATCTCAGCACCCTGCAATACTGAAATCTGTCTGAAACATTATCAAAATATACAATTTACCACTAAATAAAAAGGAATATTGTATTACAGCTTTGCACTTGAGTAGGTATTGAAAAAGCTAGATATGTACATTAAATGTATAAACAGGGTGAAATGCACAGTATACTGGGGAGGTTTTTCAGAATCCTTGCTAGGTTAAACAAATGCAGCTTCAGCCTACATTGTATGTCTTAGCTGGTTGCAGACCTGCAGTAATGCAAATAAAATGTCCTTGTATGACACCAGCAGCAAAACATGATTTTTCCAAATGCCTAACATTACATCTATTGATCTTAAAGCTCATTCTGCTTTTAGGCTTTTTAGCCTTCAAGTCGTAAAGGCCCATTTTGATGAGCAGAATTTGCTGATCACTGCCAAGACTTTTCTTTACAACCCAAGCTGGAGTATTGTGACACCTGCAAATTTTACTTCATACAATTACATTGCACATAGCAACTGCAAATGTTCTGTAATGCCATGTGATAAGGCACAGGAACAGATGTTAGACTGTAAAGAGGAGAAAGGCATTTATTATGCAGTGCTCTAATAGAGAAGCAATAATAAAAAAAAGAAAAAACAGGCACCTGAGGGGCAACAATGAAGGCACTAAGGACAGTACACTAGGAATTTCAGCTTTTATAAACTAACTTTTAGGCAGAGTATGCTGCAGTCAGTCTGCAAAATATGGAATTCAGACATTCCAGATAGACTAGATATTTGTTTTGATGAGATTGTCACAAGTTTCAGAGCCAACCTCCACATTTGAGAGTTTGCAAATGATTTTAAGTAAGTTTGGAGATCTTACAGCCAACAATTTACATCCCTGTGGATCATGTGTATGAACCTGAGGCACTTTAGAAACTTGCAGCTAAACTGTGCTGAGGTGGTGTCAATCAACTCAAGGTCTGTAATGGAAAGCCAAACCTTAAAAAAGGTATAGCTTTTGTAGGTAACCCTTTGTGCATCAGTTAGGATTTGACACACCAAAAGGTTAAGTGCTACAAACTGCAAGTTTTGTTTAATGCAGGTAAAGCATCAATAAGGCATAACAGAAGGCAGGAAAAGTATTAAGACTGTACACAACATGCACGTTTCATTTGGTCCTTGATATTTTGAAGCATAAGCTTGAAGCATGGACAGCATGCTTTCTTAACAATAAGGCAAATGGGGGTAAATGAATACATGGAAATCAAAAATGTACACAACTGTGTAATTAAACAAGGATAAAGCAAGCATCTTTCTTGCTACCTCTAACGCCTGTTCTTTACCAGGCACAAAGCAAAAACAGTATGTGAATTAGCTAATGTTAAGGTGCCATGGTCCCAGAAAAATTTGGTCAGTAAATTAGTATAGATATGGGAATGCTGTGGTTTACAGTCCAGACAATACTTGAACTCATCAGTTTAGGATAAACATATCCAAGAACCTGACAGTGGGCAAACATCAGAAAGTTCAGATTGTAAGGCACAGAGTAATAGCTGGTCAGCACATTATGTGACAAGGTTTGACCACAAACTGCACACGCAGTGTTCAGCTGATGTGAACTGTTTCCATTGGTCACATGTGCAAAACATACTGCAGTCATTACATAAATCTAGTAATCAACTAGATTTACAGCTGGCCCTTCAAATCCAGGTTAAAAAAAAAAAAAAAAAAAGCCAGGGCCAGTATGCCAAATGTTGGTCTTAACAAAACTGCCAAAAACTCCTTATCAAGTACAGAGTTCATTTAAGGGTACTGTGAAAATACACACAAATACCCTCAATATATTCACTAACAATGAAACCCTTGAAGAAAATATTTCTTAAAAAGTTAAAAATCTGGGATGCAAGGACACTTGAGCGCTGCAAGTAAAGTGGCTTATATCTGGAATGATGGAAGTGAGCCCTTGGAGAGACATAACAAAGGCTGGCAGTCCTTTACTTTTCTTAATTTCCCAAATCAGATGGTGGACTTTGAGAAGGAAACTCTCAGGTGATGGCTCTCTCCCATATCATGGTTGTGAAGTTCAATGAGAGATTCTATAGCCTCTTCAACAGACCCCATTTGAATAAGAGCCATTTTCCGATCTTTCCTGAAAGAGCAAAAAGGAAAAGAAAAAAAAAACCTTAAACAATGCTCCAAGTAAAAGAATGTATGTATGTATGTATGTATGTATGTATGTATACACTTACTGGAAGAACTTAAAGCCTTTCACGGTGCATCCATTGTGTGAGAAAAGCTGCTTTAGATCCTCTTCGCTCACAGAAGGCCTTCAAAAGTAAAGATTTTAATTAAATGAAGATTCTGAAGTTACAATGAAAAGTTAAAAAAAAACCCACAAAAAAACCCACCCTGGCTATGAAAATGACAAAATGTTGCTTAGTTTATAGTCTGCTGCATCCTTGAGAACTAATCTCCAAACGCTCAGGACAGAGCAGGTGGGGATGGGTTTCCTTATGTGTATGGGCAAACTGGAAAGCATTCCACACACCAATAGGCCAAGTCTTAACCGATTGCTCAGTTGTACATCTAATCCAATATAAAATGTATCCAATAAAACCTAGAACAAGAATCTTACGGTATATTGGAGAGGTGAAGCGTGGCAGATGGAGGGAAGATATTTTGAAAGTTCTTAGAGCCCGGCTTCTTAAAGCGGTGGAGAGGAGAGTTTGTGAAATCTTTTGTTAATCCCTGGTCTTCCTGCCCCTCTCTAGGTAGCTGGACAGTCTGATGCTTAGACACAGTGATGCGAAGTGGTTTCCCATGAAGCCTTTGTCCATTTAAATGGCTCATAGCTATAAGAAAAAAAAATATAAAATACAAAAACATGATTACTGAGGAATGCCTTTAGGAATTACTGTGCAGTTTCTCAAGTACAGACTGCAACAGCATAGAAAGAACAGTGTACAGGGCAAGCCAAATATTTGCAGCATGCTGTGAAGCAATTTTATCCAAGTGCAAGCAACAGTAAAACACCAATACCAGAGACTAAAGCTTAATGGTCCATTAACTGTTAAGGTACATCAAGTGGCCTTTTCCACATTCATGACACTTCAGGTTTGATAAAGTTAATGAACTGTTTTTTACTTGCTTCCTGGCACTGCATCACAAGAGTCACAAGTATGTGGACAAACATGCTCAAAGTGGCTCTAAAGGCTGAAGTTTTTTTTTTTTACCTTCATGCATTCTATGCTTGAAGGTGTAAAAACCTGTGTGCAGCAGCCCACCCCTTCCCCCCCCCCCCCCCCCCAAATACTCACTTAAGCCAGATCCAGCAATGTGTCCTGGGAGTCTGCTATCCGACTCTTTTCTCATTGACCAAGACAGTAGGAGTTATTGGCTCCTGCTGCTGTCAATCTCAGCCAGTAAGCCAATAAGAAACGTGTAGGGCCAAGCTGCAGCTCCATGTGTGAATGGGCACGGCACAGCAGATGGGGAATGTGCATGCTCGGATGCTGCTTGCTGTGGGGGCACCCAACAGGAAGAAGGGGCCAGGTGTGCCAGCAGGGGACCCGATGAGGATCCAGCCTGCTCTGTGCAAAACCAGTGCACACAGCAAGTATAGACTTGTTTTAATATTTAAGCATTTACAATCACTACGTAAACTAAAATACACTTTGTATTGCAAACTAGCCATTTCCAGTAGAGGTTCGTAGATCTTACCTAGCTGAGCTTGGTTCCCATCAGCCATCTGGACAAGTGCATTCTCTTTCTTGTTAAAGAGAATTTTTACTCTGTGTACATCACCATACACACCTTAGGGAAATAAAAAACAAAAATCAAAAAAAACAAACAAAAATAAAAAATAACCATGCATAATACTTATGTACATATTTGTAATGAGCACAAAGTCAGTTGTATGCTAATGGCATGCCAAGTTAGAACATTAGCAAAAAAAACCCACAAAAATGAGCAGTCTAAAGATGTTAGCTTCACTGTCAGTCTAGAAAGTTTTCCCATGTGTGCCTACTAGTATTAAAAGGAGGGGGAAAAAAAAAAAAAAAAAAAAAAAATGAATGAATGATACAGCAAGAGGGTTTCCTAATGACCTCTACATTTAGCAGATTGCATAAAAACTGCAGGATAAGCTCTAGCTGACCCTGGCCGCCCTAACCCCCCCCCCCCCCACACACAATGTTTAAGGGATGATCATAATAAAGTCTCCATTTACAGAATCACCCCACCTACAGTGCATTAGCAGGAAGACCTGCTAAGAAGCAACTATAGCCATCACCCAACTCTGCATGCCACTGCTTCAAAAAAAAAAAAAAAAAAAAAAAAAAAAAAAAAAAAAAAACACAAGATGTTAAATAAGTGCAGTTCTACATCAAAAGGCTTTGAAATTCTCAGCTGCTACATCACACAAAGACCACCATACAGAAAGTAAAAAAAAACAAAAACGTACAACTGCACTTTCTCCCACCCAACACATCAAGAAAAATGCATGCAGCACCCACCCAAAAAAACAAAAACAAAAACCAGAAAAAAAAATTGAATAGTAATAAAGTGCGAAACATACCGAAAAGAATAAAGAGGCATTGGGGTGTGACTCTCTTTAGAGAACAGCAGAGCAAGGCAGCGGAGGGACAGGGGGTAGAGAAAAGGAGCCGAGGGGAGAGCACAGCTTGCAGAAATGGTCCACGAGGAATGTGTCACCGGAGGAGTGGTAGGAGCAGTTGACGGATGATATTCAAGGTGGTTAATATTTGAAGGATAGGTTGGATCCGGACAACAGGGTGTTTGGGATTTTTTGGAAGGGAGAGTATGTTTTGTTTCACAAAGCACAACAGGAAGCAGAAGATGCCGTGCAGTCAGTTGGCAAAGAAATTCCGGATCAAGGTAAAAAAAAGAAGGGGATGGGAGGAAAAGAAAAGTAGCAAAAACAGGTCAGTAAATATATAAAGAAACAGGTACATAAGAATAAGTCTTCTAGATTAAATGTTTAAGACAGCTACTAAGGTTTAATCTGATGGGAAAGTAATACAATGAAATGAAACAAAAAAAGGTCATATGAGACAATATCCACAAGTAGCTAAGGTGGTCACTAATGAGATGCCCTTCGCAAGCACATAATCCTTCAGTAACCACCACAGTCCAGGATTTAATTGCCATTGTTAAAAAAAAAAAAAAAAAGGTTTCTCTTTACTCTAAATTTCAAACAGTGGAATATGCCAGAGAACAAGTCTTATGCAGGCTAGTATTTTGTAAGTAAACATTTTAGCGATTTTGTTGGACTTTAAGGCTAGTACCACCAAAAAAGCCTCCAAGGTATGCTCTACAACCTAACAAAAAACCCCAAGTAATCAACACCTGTACAATGGCATTATCCAGACTCACAATTTGTACTAAACTGAAACAGATTCTAGGATATTGTCTGCACATGTATCAAGAGATCTGCAACTAAGTAATTAGCAGGAAGAGTATTGTTAGTTCAGTCCCTAAGAGGGAAGTTAGGGCCATCCCTCAACTTAAAAACTTAACAGGAAAAAAGTAACACTATTTCCATCTAATATTGCAGAACAAATCTTTGGTTCAGACAAAAGCCTGACAAACAGACCTGTTTCAATGTACAGTGCACATTTTAAGGCTTACATAGAACTCAAATTTTAAATGCTACAAATTGTACAGCAGAACACGCTTTGCATATTTCAACTAAAAAGTTAGTGGAATTAAACCCAAAAAACATTGCAGCTGACCAATCCTTAAAAACACCATGGCTGCATTTATTTTATATGCCCACTTTTTCCAACCTGTTGATCTTGATCCACCCAGTAACCTCCATTCTTAGGGTGGCTCCACTCTGGATAAAGGCGCAACCAAGCCACCATTGGACAGCAGCATTGTCAATCTCGGGAGAAGGTAGTGTCATTTGCACCGATATTTAGATGAACTTCACTAAAACCAAACATAAGGGGACTAAGCAGTTAAAGGAAGCCCCCCCCCCCCCCTACCAAAAGAGACAACCACATCCAAGAAATTTTAAGCTGCACATTTTTAGGTTTAATTCCAATTTAAGTTACTCAACTGTATTAAACTAAGCTTGATGTCAAAGTAGCCATTTCAAAGTGTAACATAAGTATTCCAGTGGCAACCATTTTATTTAGGCCACACAATTCCACTAACCTCTGGGTTAAGGTTGCTGACAAGCAAAACTGCATTTCCAGGGACTGCCAATCCTGGAATGCCAAGTCTACTGGCAGCAGCAGCTGCTGCAGCAGATGGAAGTGCAAGAGGTGCAAGTGCTCCATGGACACCTAAAAAACAAACAAAAAAACAAAAACAAAAAAGGATATCCATTTAAAAACCACTACATAGCAGTACAGACACTTTTGGGTGTGCACATCTTAATTTTAAATTGACAATTTAGACAAAATCAGGGAAGCTTTAACTACCCAAAGCAAACATTTTACCCACATATGATATATTTTCTTCTATCACCCAGTCAAAACTCCTCAAGGACACAAAGCAGTAATCTACCACTCTGTATACCATCCAAAGCAAATTTTTAGGTCTAGCATTTCATTATAAAAAAGGAGACTAGAAAAAATTAAAACTACCTTGTGGGATTGCAAAAGCTGGTGGAAAACCAGCACTTGCATAAGGATTTGCAGATATCAGTCCTGGAGCTCCTGAAAGAAAGGGGGAAAGCCACTGTAGATTAGCAAGAACAGGGGGATTTGAAACTTATACAGGCTCACCACATTCAGCCGAAACAAAATCTCTGAATGCTTGCTGGCTTCACATGTTTGAGTCATATCTGACCCATTTTATACTAGAAGAAAATTTGTCAGATTTCAAAGGGTGTGATTTTCCAAAAAGTAGGGTAGAGCTAGTGTTAGACATTTCAAGTTTGGTTATGATTCTCACCAAAAGCAGCAATGGTTTGATCCAAAGAGGGCTGTCCATCCCCAGAAGGAAGGTCTGGCCGGGTATAATCCCGACTTTTGTCATTATTGTACTTTACATTGAGGCTGGTGAGCTTGGAGAAGTCAATACGCAGCGTACAGCAAGCATTATAAATGTTCTGCCCATCAAGAGCCTAAAAAGAGGAAACTACTATCAGACTTTTCATTGTTTTCACTTACTAGCAGGTTTGTGTAGAGTACAAGAAATTGTTTAGAAAAACAAAGCATCTACGCACCAGTTTGGCATGTTGGGCACACATGGGATCAGAATACTGAAGAAGCGCCTGAAACTGATTGTTCTTTGTAAAAGTAATAATCTTCAAAACGGTCCCAAATTTGGAAAAAATCTATAGAGGGGGAAAAAAAAAAAAAAAAAAAAAAAAAAGTTAAAGTAAGTTGCTGACTAGTTTGGTCAATGAAAGACCAAACCTCTACAGCTGTCCATTTTAGCAACCGTGATTACGAGACACATTTGAATATTTTAAAGATACAGCATTTTTTTTAACCCAGGGCATAAAACCACCAAGCCAAACTCCCTTGAGGTGAAACATACAACCACACATTCCCTCTGAATTTCAACCCAGGTGCATGTACCTGTTGCAAGACATCAAGAGTAACTGGATAGAAAAGGTTTTCCACAATTATCCTGAGAACTGGGCTCTGTCCTGATATAGCCATACCAGCATCCACAGCAGCAGCAGTGGCAGACAGTGCAACATTTCCAGACTGGACCGAATTCACAGCCAGCAGCGCTGCTTGTGCTCGCTGAAATTAAAGCAGAATTAAAAAGTTTGATTTTACAGTTAATGAAAGTAAAGAAAATGTGTTTTTCCAGTTTCATGCCAGCTTCCAAGAAATATTCTTCCATTACACAAAGCATTTAGTTTGGCACCAACAATTTGGTTGTATGCCAGGAGGCTACAAAGTTGGCATATTTAACATGTTCTCTTTTACCTAAATCAGAACTTCACTCAGTGACTGCTTGTTTTGCTACCTCCCCCCCCAGCCTGCAAATGACGAGGGGTGGATGAGTTCCAATTTTCAATCAGTAACCACTCCCACAGTCTGCATTACCATTCTAAGAGTACAAATGTGCAGTGGAGAGCCACAGTTGGCTCCCATAACCAAAATAGTAGCACTGGGGACATTCACCAGCTGCAAGAAGACCATGCTGGACAGTATCTAAGGTAGCAATTACAGTTCCTCCAAGCTTTTACAGGAGGAAATCTTTGACATGTAGGTGTAAATATGCAATAGAAGTAAAAACCGATCAAGGTACCAAGATTTAAGGAAATAGACTATACATTCTGATGTCTCAAACCAATTTCATTCTATAAAATTTAGCATATCCTATTTAAATTAATTTGTTTTTTTAAAGAGAAAGTAATCTTTAAGAGCACGTTACCCCTTTATTTATGGTGTACCATGCTCCTATGTATTTATTTGCCACCAACACTCCCTGCACCTGCTGTCAATCTGAAAACACTGGCCATGCAGGGTTCTGCAGACAGCTTCCTGTGAAATAGGCTACAAGTATTGTCTGCCATTGCTGCTGTGGCTTTTAGTTCTCAAAGAACTGCAAGGGTAAGGGTGAGCACAGGAGGTACAGACAGACAGCTTACTGAGGGTTTTTAGATCGGTGCATTGCACCCACAGTCTTGTGCAATGTAAAAATAAAATGCAATTTATCTGCAAAGTTTTTTTTTTTTTTTTTTTTTTTTTTAACACAAAAAGGTGCTCTCCTTCAAGTGAAACTGGTACACTTCTGACTGCCAATAGTAAGGAGGGAAAAAAAACAAAAAAAAAACACAAACACACACAAACTGCTGTATTTTACAAACAAGATCAGCACTGACCATCCTGCCAATTTGACCCTAGTGTACAGCACATTTTACCCTTTCCCTCAAAGAGGGACAAAGGAAACTTTTAGAGTCTTCAAAACATTACTCACAGCTTGATTTGGAGAGTTATCAGTTTTCAGTTCTTTGTGATTTGAAAATTGGATATAGATTGGCTGACTTCTGAGCACAGGTGTAACTGTAGCAAAGTAATTCACCATGGTGTTTGCAGCCTCCTCTGTATTCATCTCCAGAAAGGCCTAACAAAAAAAACAAACACCACAAATAAGCATATGTCCCAAGTTGCAAATGTACAGTTCAGATGAAAAGAAAATTTAAACCCACCTGATTTTTGCCCTTTAGCATCAACAGGTTGGTCACTTTTCCAAATGGAAGACCAAGAGATATAACTTCAGCTTCAGTAACATCTCCTGGAAGTTGTCGAACATGAATCACTCTAGACCCAACACTTACGGATCTGTTGTCTCCCTTGAATTTCTTGCTGTCATTTCCGTTTGCTGAAAAATGAGTTTAATTTTCACATACAAAGAAACTTAATTGCAGGTAACAGAAAAAGGCTTTTTTCCCCCCTTTACAATCATTTACACTTCAGTTTTAGGGCTCGTTCACACGACTGTTTTACCTACGCTTGCCAAACGCCCCTATAGCGTTTGGCAAGTGTTGGTCCGGCGTTTGCGGAGCATTTAACGCGCCGCATGCGCGGTTTAGCAGCGGTTGCTAGGCGTTTGCCGAGCGTTAAAAATGCCCCACAAATGCCTATAATGAAGTTTGAATGGTGTTACCGCTCCACAAACGCCCCACAACCGCACACGCCGGCCGTTTGTGGAGCGGCACCATAGACTAGAATAGGAGGCTTCAACGCCTCCTGACTCGGCCGTTTTGCCACGACGCTAACGCTCTCCCACATTAGAACAGCACAATGTGCTGCAATGTGCAGAATTGTCAGGCGTTTGGGAAGCGGTAAAAATGCTTCCCAAACGCCTCTCTGCCGCCTGCACACAACGCTAGTGTGAACGTAGCCTTATGGGCTTAAATGATATTTTTCCTTTAACCAACATTACATAAATATTTTAACCAGCAAACGTAATTTAAAGTTTAGACTATGCAAGGACTACCATACAGTGGCATATTTATTAATCAGCATTCATATAGCACCAACAGTTCGCAATAAAAGGGGGACAGTACAATTACTGTACAGAAGGAATTGTGACAGTATATCAACACTACACTGTGTGCACAATTAGGGAAGTATTTTGACCAAAATCATAATTATATTGCCCAGCTTCAATCTGTATAAACTTGAATGCTTAGATTTAGGCACATCAGGTGATTTGTATTTGACCAATGAGGGAGGGTGCGGTCTACAGATCACTCTATATCAAGGTGTGCATAATTAGGCAGCTTCTTTTCCTCAGGCAAAATGGTCCAACTCTGCCAGTCAAAAATAGTAAAGTCTGAGGGATGCAGCACTTTAGCAATTACAAAGATATTGGGGTGTGATCACAGAACCAAAAATAGAGAAAGGAGGGGAGGGGGGGATGATGACTGCCAAAGATTTCAGAATCAAAAGTGAAACCCATTATCCTCCACTGCGGTCATATTCCAGAACTGCAACCTACTTGGAGTGCCCAGAAGTACAAGATGTTCAGGTATGGTCAAGGTAAGGAAAGCTGAAACCTGACCACCACTGAACACACAAGTTGAAACGTCAAGACTGGGCCAAGAAATATCTGAAGTCAGATTTTCAAAGGTTTTCTGGACCGAGGAGATGAGTGCGACTCTTGGACCAGAAACTGGCACAAAGCTCCTCTTCAACTCAGATGCCAGCAAGATGGATGGGTACTGGTATTAAAGATGGGCTAGCTGGACCTTTTCGGGTTGAATATGGACTCAAAATTAACTCCCAAACCTACTGCCAGTTAGACACTTTCTTCAAGCAGTGGTACAGAAAGAAGTCTGCATCTTTCAAGACCATTATATTTAGGCAGGACAATGCTCCATCACATGCATCGAAGTACTCATTACATGGCTAGCCAGTAAAGTCCTTAAAGATGAAAGAATGACATGGCCCCCTTCCTCACCTAAGCCAAGCCATATTGAGAACTTGTGGGATCTACTAAAAACTGATTTACAGTGAATGAAAAAAACGGTACACCTGTCTGGGAGGATGTGTTCACTGCTGCACAAAAGCTGATATGACAGATCAGGAAACTGACAATCCATGAATGGCTTATTGAAAAGAGTGGCTAGATTTGTCACTTAATGTTTAAGTTTTGAGTTGTTTATTCTCAGTTTCACAGATAAAGTGAGATAGGACATTTTTCGTTTTTCATTTAGTTGCACAATTCTGCGCACTAACAGCTGCCCAATAATTGAGCACACAGGGTTGAGGTTTATTAACATTTTGGATTGACCGAGAGCACTGCAATTCAATAATGAAATGAATCTTCAAAAAATACAACTTGCCTAATAAGTGTGCATGCAGTATGTGCAATGAGAACTATTCAACCTTGCAAGGCCATCATACTTTCAATAGTAATGTGACTTTAGACATGGGAACATTCCTTATACATATTGATGCAACCGACTGATCAAATTTACTGGGCAACAAGCATTGTTCGTGTTTCAGACAACACTTCAATGGACTTGCCATTGTGAATGCATAAATGCATCAAAAAAACTCTACCACAAGTCCAACTAGGTTATAGCAAACCTGTCAAGGTTAAATTACAAAATACAAGGAAATTACATTTGTATGGAAAAACTTCTTTAAAAACCCACCTGTCAAATGTTACTCTATAGTATGTGCAAGGAGCTCTGAATATTCAACTTTGGACTAGTAGAAAAAGTTTTATATTTTCTGTCGAGTCTCCTCTTGATGACCGAGACTAAAGAATATTGCAACTCAGAGGGCCACAAGGAAGCACCACAGCAGCTAGTGACTCCCTATTCAACATACAGCATAGTGCGGAATAGATCAGTGTTCAGAGCTCTGCTACAGACTGCAGCTGTTTTAGCATATTGACTACTAAAAGTTTAAGGGGTTTTCTTCAGTGTAGTTTAACAGTCATTTGCCTGACTGGATCACTTAACACTGACTGTAGAATGATGCTTTAAGGCTTGGATTTACTGTGTGAATTTGATTTGACTAGGCCATGAATATTAAAGTGGAGCCAAACCCATCAATTTATTAGTTTCCGAAAATTACAGTCAATGCATGGTGTGAATTACTGTCACAGTTGCTTGTTCTCTCAACTGAATGGTCAAGCCAAACAGGTAATGTCCTAACCAATCGCTTGTTAAGCTTAAAAATGGAAGCTTCCTTGGCTGACAGACTAGGATAGCTTTAGTTAACCAGGGTATACATGCACAGTTGCAAGTGCTGATTGAAAGCTGGTTTTCCAGAAGGACCACCAACAACTTGTTGGAACAGTGGTACACTTACGGAAATTTGTCCGGTTCCTGCTGAACCAGCCACATTTTGATGCATGTATACCCTGCTTTACAATGTAAACTGAAACATTTAGTGGTTTCGATATTATTCCAAGCAATAAATCAGTAAACAAGCTCTTAATGTGTGGTTGTCTGAAAAATCAGCATCGATGTGGAAAAATAAAACTAAGTGGGATAGGACTCTAAGCATGGTACATCTTGCCCTGGGGAAAATTTGCCTACTCTTCCATGCAAATCCTTCAGATTAGAAGGGCATCTCCTGTGTTCAGGCCAGCTCACAGCTTTTCAACTGGATTCTAGTCCAGGTTCTGGCTGGGCCATTTCAACACTTTTCTGGAAAAAGGCATTTACTTTTAAGCCCCAGTTCCAACTGTAGAAACAGCCACAAAACCTAATGCTGCCAGGTTTCACTGTGTGTATGGTGATTTTTGCCTCACACCATTTGGAATCATGACCAAAAAACTACCAAGACGAGATTGTACCATGCCAAGACTACCAATCCAAAAGACTGAAGAAAAAAAAAAAAAATCCAAAAAGCTTTATTTATCCGTTTTTAAAGTCTCAAAACCTGGCATTTTTGAAAAGGAGTGTAGACTTTATATCCACTGTAGGTTGGCCAACATTCTTCCTATACTGACATTGTTTGCACACATCTTACTGCAGAAGTGATGCCCCTTATACCCATGGAGTAGAAGGTTGTCACTACCAAGACAAAAGCTACATTGTGATACAGAATCATGATTTTAGCATATAGAAAACACAAAAAAAAAAAACCCCACAACAAGGACAGAAAAACAAGCTAGACACCACCACAAAGAAACAAAGAAAACATTACCTGCAGAAGCAGAGTTGCTCATGATAAAGGGTCCGTTAGTAACACAAGAGAAAAGCTCGTCAGATCCCCGCTGGAAGAGAAAATAAAAGCTTAAGATTGCAGAAATTGCAAGTAAAAAGCTTTGAAAAAACAAGTTAACCCAATTCCACATGCAACTTTCTATTCTTCTGAGACCAGGGTCACATTTTGGGCTGCTGCAATGTAAAAAGCCTTTGTCCTAACAGTCAACTGAAATGCTTACAGAAATGCATATACTTATACAGGTGTGCATGTACGATGACATGACATGGGGGGAACCACAAACACATTTGGTATTGAAATGCTTGACAACTGTACCCATGATAGTTTCCTAGGCAAAAATTAAAATCTATACAGGACCAAAACGGTTTACAACTGTCTACCTGCCAAATTCCAGCAACAGTGCATCAGTTCTAATTTATGAAGTTCATAAATTAGCTTTCAAGCCACAATTTGATCCTAGCAAAAGAGCCATATGTACACCCCCCATACATATGTATACAACAGAATTTCATATTTGAGACAAACTTGGTTTTCTCCAAGGACAAACTGGAAGATGCATGGTCATATCCACACAGTAAAAAACTTATTTTGGATAGGGTTATGATCCATCAGTTTCTGGGTCTTATTGAGGAAACTTCCCATTACCATCCCATACCCAAAACAAGTAGTGAGGAAATCCCTGCAAACAGGAATCTCTTGGGACCAATTTAATTTAATTTGCACATACTGATAATGGTAAACAGGACAAGGGGCACAGACTGCAATAAATACCTGACAGGTGTTCTAATCATCTCCAAACTAAAAAAGCTTTACCTATACTTTAAAATCAGGAGAATGGCTTGCTTTATGTCTGCTACGGATTTTTACCTTGTAGGAACCACTGACTTCCAACCTTTAATAGGAATGTGTCCTATTGCCTGATCTGTGGCAGACTGCTTATACCTACATGGATCTAAATTGAGATGTGGCAGGGTCCTTTTGGTTGGGCATATTAGAAAAAGCTAACAATGCATAGTTGATCACTATAGGAATTTTAAAGTCACTAATAAGTATGCAATTATTAAAGCAGACAGGAGTACTAATAAAATTGTGTTTAGGAAAAGCGCAAGCACACTATTGTTATACACGTCTGGAAGGAAGAGTTCATAAAAAGCACAAGTAAAAATTATGTGGGAGAGCTCATTTATTCCAGTGCTTTAGAGCATGCCAAAAGATTCAGTTACCATAATGGGAAAATTAGAAGCAGACCCTCAACTGTGCCAAATTCTACATCAGATCATAAAATGGATACCCTCCATTATATGACATACTTTCTTCTGAAATTAAAGAATATGCTAGATGTCTGCAAAATGAAGCAATACTATAGGCTGTCCTGTTGCACTAAGCTGTCCAGCCCTCTACTTTCCTGAGAAAATCTATTACAAGGATGGCCCTTCCAAATCAAAGTACTGCTTTTACATACGGTACTGTACATGGAGCAGGAAATTTGCCATTATTCACCATTACTGGCTCTGGTAACAAGGCTAGTATCACATTATCCTGTAACAAGTTACTTCAAACATCACTAAATTATTAAGAGTAAGTTTAGAACTTTTAACTAGAGGACCTGGAGAATAGGAAAATATCAAATGGCACTGCAGCATGCATATTTATGCAACCCTTTACAATGATCACAGAACCATTTACATCAGCACACATCTTAAAAGAAGCTTAATACATTTCATATCAGACCTTTTACATAAAAACCCTCTACCAAAAACCTGAAACTAGTATAAAGAGGGATCTGACACCAGATGTTGGGCAAGACAGTTTCAAATGTAGGTCAGCTGAAGAATCAGGAAACAAAAGCCAGTGGAGGGTACTTAATGCAAAAAAATAAATTGTCAAAGTTAAAAAAAAAAAAAAAAAAACAAACAAACAAAAAAAACACACTTCTACAAAATTATCTTGTTGTGAACACATCACTTTACTGTCTAACAGGAGTAAAGTCAGGTTCTCCATGCATTAAAAAAAAATTATTTTTTTTTAAAAAATTACACGTTACAGTCCAGCACTGTCATACCTCTGTTGTGTGCTTGCACTTTTAGAATTTAGGATGACAGCCTGAGGCAGGGCAGGAACTGTGTACCATCACCCCTCCCCCAAAAGCCAACACAAAGACTGCTATGGTAACACCTAGAAAAATAAACCTGTAATAAAGCAGGGTTGGGCAGGCTGTGGACTATGCATTCCAGAGCTTGAAAAGGACTAGTAATGCAGCCGCTCCCAGACATTACCTCAAATGTAGTAACCATTTCAATGATGAAGAAAAGTTTACAGGATAAAAACAAAGAAACCTACCCTACAATGTTTCACTTATACTTTCTTTGTAACATGTAAAAATGTGTATAAAATGTAAATAGTCCCTGCAATGTGCATAAAATGCATTGGTAAGTCATCACTAAAAATAGTAGAGCACTTTGATGTAGCTGCAGTTTCAATTGAAATCCATGCAAAGTTGTAAAGGTAGCAACTCTTAACACTAAGGTGCTTTACACATTAAAACAGTCAATTATCAATGAAGTCTAAATCTTGGAAATGTTCTATTGATTGTAGTGGTAGCATCACACCAACAAGCAGCAATTTCATGGTTCAAAGCATTCACTTGAGCATTGCAATAACCCATTCTTTTTAAATGGTAAACACCAGCACTTCCAAGACCTGATCAGAGGTATAAACCCAATTGTTTGGATAAAGTTTTTTTTTTTTAGACAGATACATAACATTTTTTATGCACATTTTAGGGAGATGGGAACGCAACTTCTGGTCCTGATGCACTCTTTATTCTGGCAACTTAACTTCCACTTCATGAAGCCAGAAAGCATATACTGTGTAACTGAGCCTTAAACATATGTAAGGATGTTAAAGTGTTAGTAAACTCTTATTTTTTAACTACCAGGAAAAGCTTATCTGTAGATAAAAATTAATATCTCCGAAACATGTACCGCTCAAGAGATATTCTAGCAAGCTTCAGCCGGTGCCATCACCAGCACATGCTCTCTGAAGGAACATACCTGTGCTGTTCCTTCAGAGCTGTGTGCCATGGCTGAGGTGATCACATTCATGCGTGGGAGTGACATCATTGCAGCTGGGCTAATCAAGTGGCCGCAGGCCACAAATCCAGAAGACTGGGTGAAGATGGAAGACTTTGCAGCGGTGACAATGTGCCACTGAAGGGCTTCATTTCAAGGCAAATCTTTCATAATGTGAAAGAATGATGCATACTAGCACATTATACCTTTACCTTGCAGGAGAAAACTGTTTAGAGCTTAGTACCACTTAACCGTAGGTTCACACCTAAGCGGTTTCTGCAGCATTTAGCAGCAATGCAGTACAGTCCATTTAACATGATTTCCTATAGGACAGGTTCACATCTGTGTTTTCACCCGGTGTGTTTAGAAAAAGGTCAGGGACTTTCCATAGACTTCAATGGGAAAGCATGTATTGCGTTTTTGCCACATTTAACATCTGCCTAGCAAGAAAAAAACCCCGCAAAATACAAAAAAAAAAAAAAAAAATTGCAAAATGCAATGCAGAAACATCAAAACGCAACCTGCATAGGTGTGAACCTAGATTTAATTTTGCTCACAAAGCCAATGCAGCCTTTCAACTGAAGCAATAAAAAAAATATTAGGCTACATTCTTGAAAAACCAAGAGGGAAAAATTAATGAATACCATATCAGTAAAATGACCAATGTTACCATCAAGAGAACAGGTTAGTATGATTCCCATTAAAGCAATTCCAAAAACACAAATGTCTTACCTTTGTACCAACTGTTATATCTTGGACAATGCTATGAGAAAACAAAAACGACATGTTAAAAACTGTTCTATTATATAAGCAAATGCAAAACACTTCCAATTTCTATATGGTTTAACATCTGACCCTTACTTAGCAAGTCTGTGCAAGAAGCAGAAGCCTGACTTTTTTTAAAACGGTTAAACAAAAATGGAAGTAGGTTGCCATTCCAGTTCACTAAATTAGATGTCTAGACAAAAGCATTCAAATGAAAAAAGAAAAGCAGAAAATAGTGTGTCGAGAACACACAAGTCTTGTCAAAGTGACACTTAAGACATTAAGCAAAACTATTTTACTCAATGAAAATAGTCTAGCATTGTAATTTAAAATGTTTTCATGATACAGACCTCCCATTTTGTTACTGGTAATACTATAACTTTGCATAACCGAGAGGTGGCTTTAGTTCCTAGGCAATAATCAACAACACAAGACCATTTAATTGTGCTGCCACATAGCTGTCCTCTAATATTTGGACAATATATGAGGCCAATATTTCATTGGACATGTACTTGGATACTTTCTACTGTACCCCCCCCCCCCCCCCCCAAGCAGATGGCATCTGCCTGGACTGTGCAACAGTTTCAGATTATGACCCCTTCAGCCAAAAGCCTCCTGTAGTTTTGATCAGTCAACAGGCACATTACTGAAAGACAAGGCCTAGCTTGCAAGAGAAGCCAAAGAGTAAGGTGTGGCAAAACCATATACACATACAAGTTTAAAGCAGGATATGAGTAAGCACATTTTTGCAGACCATGCATGCAATTTGTTTAGAAAAGCATCTTTACCCTACAGACAAATTTAGCAGTGAACAGCTTTCATTAATCCAAAATGTACAATCTGGAAGTTTAGTACAGTTTCTCAGACCCTAAAAGGATATCTATGATCCACTTCTTTGCAACATAACCTACTTGGACAAAATGCAACAACCCATAACTTGTTAAAAGTTTCCCAATCCTGCACCTGGTTCAGTGCACATGTAGCACAAATGAGTCAATGGAACAGCCCTATTAGATTGACAAGCTTTCCACTGAAGTGGCATTCAGATCATGCATGCACTGGAGATGATTTTTCCATACATTGCCAGGCAGGTTGTACAGCAATATTGCTAGAAAACTGCATATCAGGTTAAGCATATCAAAAATGGTGATGGGGAAACAGGCCTAAATAAACGAACTTCACTAAACCTTTACCAATAGAATATGAAGTACCTCTTATAACATAAGCAGATGAAGTACATTCTAACATACAGAACGGGGAATAAAACCAATAAAATGTTGCTGTGAGACAGGGAATTTAAGCACAAAAATGTGGCCTCAGATACCGTTCCAACACTTAGGCAAGCATGTCAAGAATGGAGATTACAAGAGGTCAAGGAGTGCCTAAAAAGATTTAGCAAAAAAATTGCTGATATCCCACTAGGTTCTCTTTTCTGCATGACTCATGCAGGGAGATCAGCCATACCTTATTGTAAATTGAATTTGGCTTCCACATCGGACAGTCTGCATATACTGCCACAGAAAACGCTTTTGGAAAAGCGCTAAACTTGTTATATAATAAAAGTGGCAAGCTAAAATTCTGGAGCAGTTTTGCAGCATCTTCCATATATGGGGCATTGCACACTGAACAAGAGAGGCCCAGAAGATCATATCCACCATTTGAAACTTCCCATTTTTGGGTGATAGAACAGTTTACTTTATATGGGGCTTCAAGGGCTCATTTACACTCGCAGTCAGTGGGTGGTAAAAAATAAATAAATAGTTGAGCCACAATTTTACTGCTGACCGCTCCACTTGAAAAGGCAGCTGTACAGGATAGTTCACATACCATGGTGAAAATCATTCCCTGTCATGTGCAATACAGAGGACAATCAATTTAAGTAAGCTGAGCAACGCCACAACTATGTCCAATGCATGCAGTCACAGTGCAATGGTGCAGACCCTACAAGGTTAAAACAGGTGGCGAGGCAGCAGCATTGTCCCATCACCTATTAAAACACCTCTGTAAAACAATTACCACAGACCACTTCGTCAGCAAGGTCTGCTGCATGTGTAATCTTCACCTAAAGTGTTTGCATGAAGAATTTCTTGAAATTTTGGAAAATGAACAGATTCTCCTCACAACAGCTTTGTTCCAATGAGAGGAGGATTCTGGGAGCGCGGTGACGTCATTTTGGGGCGTGGCGGCCATACTTTAAATCCCTGTATCTAAATACCCATGCAGGAGATTCATAGCATGGGGTATTGAAGGCTTGTGATAAGAATTGAAATGTGAGTGGGCAATTTTATTATATATTTATTTTTGAAGAATAAACAGGATTACACTATGAGTTTTTTGTTTATATATGAACAGAGGAGGAGGCTGCTGAGAGTGTAAGAGTCGGGGGAGGACCCGGTGAGTCATCAGAGTGGTGTCCTGTTTTAAAGCAAGCTTACCCGTGTGGGGTCTTGGCAAGGAGGTGAGGGGCCACTACAGCTATTGTTTGGATTCACAGTGTGGACACGTGTGATCACATGCATGAAGATTGGGAGTTCCTTATGTTGTATTTGGACAATTTATTTTTCCTTATGGACTTATTTTCTTACAGATGTTTGCAATGATTTTCTGTTAGCGATTGTCACTAATTGCACTTTATTCCCATTTGGGAGTACACTGGTTGCACATAGGTTTAGTACCTTGTGGTATTATTTAGAGCACGGTTACACTTTGAACAGTTAGGTTGCACTTTATATTTATTTAGTAAGTTTAGGGATAGCGCTGCACTTTATATTTACATTTAAGTGCATGGGCTAACCCTACGTGACACAAAACCGTGATACTTGCACTTTGAAAATAGTGTAATGGGAACATTTATTGTCGCTACACATGTGAACTGGGCCTTAGAGCTGTGGATTCTTGAAACAAGACTCAGAAGCAATGAGACAGTGAGTGAATGTAAACATTTTAAGATAAGAAAATATAAAAACAAACATTCATTGGGGGTGCAGGGATTTAGGCTAAGGCCACAGTATTGAGGGCGCAGGAATGTGTGTAGATTGCATTCATTGCTAAAGAGCGATATGTTTTGGGTGCAGCAGACTCGCAAAGGTGCCAATTATTTTTAATGACACCACAAATCTGAAAATGCTGTGCAAAACTGCATGGTGCTGCAGCACCATACGGGTCTGTGTGGATGCCCTATCAGTGCATTTTGAAAAAGGATCAGATACCTTTTCCTGTCTCACAGGTACAGCAACCTTTCAAATGACTAGGCTACTGTGCCTGCTCAAACACAGGTTTGAACATGGACCTTAAGCAGAATTGAAGCAACTGTTTAAAAAAATTGTGAACAGGCAGGCCAATTATTGCAGAAGAGACTGGCAATAAAATAAACCTGCCTGCAGTCATATTCTGCTCTGTATAGATTCTAGTGCAAAGCCTGTGTGCTAGGATGGCTGCACTCCTGCACATGTTCGATGTTGGGAGCTAAGGTTAAAGTAGAACCTCACCCGAAAGTGGAAGTTCTGCTTGTGTTGTGTGGTGTCTGCCTCCTACTCTATCATTTTGGCCTGGGGGGGAGCAAGCAGCAGGTACGTGGCTCCCACACAGCTTATTGAGGCAATCTGAGCAGAAGTCTTCCCACCACCACCACCATCTTCACATGCAGCTGTTCCGGGACTCAACACATATCCCAGAAGGCCACATGACTATTCACAGCTCACGCATGTGCACTGGAAGTCCGGCTGAAAAGCTTCAAATCTGGTCTCGCTTAATTAAGATGCCGGTGCCTGGACCTAAAGCCAATTGAAGAACTGGCTCAGATCTGGATCCTTAGAAAGGCAAGTGTCCTAACCTTAGGAGTTGCAGCTGCTGACTTTTTGGGAGAGGGGAAGGGAACGTAAGCTGCTCTTTGACCAGTTGCCACCCAGCCTATATCCAGATGGCGGCCGGGTGAACAGCTCTTCCCTCCAGGTGGACGCCATATGGCGTCCTTCCAGGAATGCGCATTGCGCCTGCCCGCAGTGGCACTGTCACCGGCCATGTACCTCGGACATGGCTGATGACAGATCTGTGTAGCGGCCCCATTGCCAGTACCATGAGACCTGCCGTGACCAATCACAGCTGGTCACATGACAGTCTACAATGGATGGCTTCCTTTCATGCCATCCATTGTATGCAAGTGTCTAGCTGTGAATGGTCACAGCGATCACATGCACAAGCTGGGCCAATCATAGCCCAGCTGTATCATGTGATTAGCTGTGGCCAAATCACAGCCAAGCACAGAAAAAAAAAACCCTGAATTAAAATAGATTTCATTCAGGTAAATTCTTGTTTAAAGCAAAGAAATTCTTTGCTATAAGCAAACTGTAAAAAATAAAGAAATACTGATCACTTCCCCAAAGTAGTACACTGTTACTATGGTAACATACTACTTTGATCATAGTGAAATATGAAAACAAAATCTAAAAAGAACTAAAAAAAAAATCATTTTTTTTTCGTACTGTCACCAGTGTCCCTGGTCACCACCATGCTGTACTACACTGGTGACCGTATAAAAAAAATAGTGAAAATAGTTCTTAATGTCTTCATGTCCAAAAAATGGAAAAAAAAATTACAACTTCAAAAAACTTGCCATGCCTCTTGTGAAGTATGTCGGTCTAACAAAAAGGGGTCATTTGGAGATATCTGTCCTTATGACATTCTTGGACCTCAAGAAATTAGATTGGCTGTCAGTATTTCAGGATTGATCAATTTTCAGATATGTACCATAGTTTGTGAACTCTATAATGTTCCTACAGACTAAATAATACATCCTAATTTGGGTTAGTTTCACCAAAGAAATATAGTAGAATACATCTTGGCCTAAATTTATGAATTATTTATTTGCAAACTTTTATAAACAGAAACAAAGAAAAACATGTTTTTTTTTGGTCTTTTGTTAATTTAGCAAAAAATAAAAACCCCAGCAGTTTAGTTTGGGTACAGTGTTGTATGACCACACAATTGTCATTCAAAGTGA